GTGTTGGTATCCATATACTCATAACTCATGTAAGTTCAGAAAATAGAAGAGTAAGATTTTTTTTTTTTATGAGATAAAATAAAAAGAAAAATAATTGCCTTTCCCCGGCAACGGCGCCAAATTTGACGTGCACTTTGTCACGGTGCGTCAAAATAAATTCAATACTAACACTTATACGTAGTATAGCGTTGTAGAGTTCGTATCCACAGGGAAAGGAATAATTCTCTTTTTTTAAACTAGTAAATAAAAGGGAGGTTTAGGATTGAATGATTAAATTTAATTAAACACAAAGATGAACAACTTATATGTGATTTAATTCAAAGATAAAAAGGACTTGGCATTGCTACTTTCCACTTGTTGATATATTTTAGTCGATCATTGTTATTATATCTATAACTTATCCCCTCTCGAATACTCAATCGAGGAGTATATCCAATTCATCGACGGTAGTTATTAACAACGACCGTTCATTAATAACCCTTACTGTTACTCAAGTATAGAACACCGCCATATACCGACTTGATAGTAGCATTTAATCTCTTAACTCCTTAATGAAATCAATTGAGATTGATAACCTCAACACAACGGTTTCGGTTTAACCAACAAAATTAATCCCTCTTAAGTTTATTAACCACGACCGTGCATTAATAAACCGAAGTTACTTACTTGTGAAACCATCAACGATTAACCATCGGTTCGTTGATCAATTCTAGTAATAATTACTATATGAAACAAAACTAGTTGATCCTTTAAGTAATGTTCAAAATATTAATATGAAATATGAATAGGAATTAATTAATATTCAAAAAAGAATATTAAAGATAATAAATCCTACTATAACTAATGTCAAGATGTTAACTAATTGTCATCTTAGCAACACTCCCCAACATTAATATATAGAGAAAGAAAATAAATACTACTATAACTAATGTCGAGATGTTAGCTAATTGTCATCTTAGTAACACTCCCCAACATTAATATATAGGAAGTAAATGAATACTACTATAACTAATGTCGAGATATTAGCTAATTGTCATCTTAGCAACACTCCCCAACATTAATATATAGATAGTTTAGAGGAAGAATTAATATTCAAGGGAAGAAGTTAAGAAAATAACTCACAACTTTAATAATCAACAAGCTTCAAGAGCAACACCAAGAAATGGAAGTTTAGCTCCTCATTTGGAGACTAAACATGCTAGAAAAATATAAAGAAATGTTATTCTAAACTGAGCTTAAGAGAGTATGTGAATTGGTGATTTTATTGTGAAGGAAAGGAGTGTATTTATAGGCTTTTGGGAGCTGCAGGGTCTGATACCCGATCGGGTATATAGGATACCCGATCGGGTATCTTAGGAAATTGCCTAGAAAGTCACTTTTCTGGGCATACTTGATCGGGTATGTCGGCATACCCGATCGGGTATGTGATAAATCTTCACGAAAATTTGCTCCCACGATCATTTGTTCCCGGATTTGATTTGGACAATCGAATCAAGCGAATACCCGATCGGGTATAGGCAATACCCGACCAAGTACATGAGTATTTTTTCCAAATCGAAATCTTTCTTTTCTCCTTACACTTTCCTTGATCTTTTAAGGTCCAATCTTGATCCCTTGGATGATCTTTGACCTGTTTAGCTCAGAATAATCTTAATCTAAACAAATTACAAATAAAAATGAAAATAAAATATTACACCAAAAGTGTGTAATTTCCACAACTACAACTAATAAAAACTAGTTAAAAATACAAACATACAATCGAAAATTACACGAATATCAGTACCCTTCCATGTCTAGTATGATTGATAATTTGTCAAATCCTGCACAGAAAGGCTAAGTTCAGTACGCTTGAGAAATTAAAAAAGATAGACTTTAACAAATAATACCAGTATGCTAATCCCGTGACTCAAACCCTTCCATGTCCAGTATGCTTCACAAATAGACTGGAAAAAAAATTATCATTTTTGTCACTTTTGTTTTTTTTTTGTACTATTTGAATGCTTAGCAAAGATCAAATCCTTGACAAATGCTTAACCTTGCATATTGAAGGGTTAAGACCAAGTCTAGTATGCTTAGGACTGGGACTATCTGCATTTGGGACATGGAAGGGTTAAGACCAAGTCCACATAGTACTTGGGACTATCTGCATCTGGACATGGAAGGGTTAAGAACAAGTCCAGTATGCTTGGGACTATCTGCAGTTGGGACTATTTGTGAAGCATACGGGTACTATTTGTTATAAGTCTATCTTTGTTAAATTCTCGTTAAAGTACCCTTCCAAGTCCAGTATGCTTGATTGGTTGTGCTTGACTTTTCTTCCTAAATAATCTGCTTCACTAGTTCATTATGTATGGATTATTCATCACTTGAAAAGTTGATATTTTGCAAGGAAGAAGTGCCAACAACTGGCATGGAGAAGGAAAAGCAATGATATATGTATTACAATCCAGATTGGAAGAAATCTACTGTCTCTTGAGTGAGGAACAACAACACTGGTTCAACAAGGGAAACAAACGAAAAAAGAAAGGATAAGAAGCAAAGTCAAATGTAGTAAATTAGAATAATAGATTGAGTTGTATATTTGTTGTAATACTTTTAAATATTATTTTTGTTGCTTTTTGTTGTATCACAGGTATTGCATTTTGTTGCATTGTGTTGCATTTGGTTGCATCCTGTTACTTTTTGTTGCACCTTGTTGCTTATTACTCTGTATTGTTTATTGTTAAGGGTTCTTCTACGGTGCATTCGAAAATAAAGAAGGTACCGGTGCATTAACGATGGAAACTTACGGAAGCCACGTTAGGATCTACTCATATTACTAAACTAAATTTTATTATTTGCAGTTTAGGCCCTAAAAAATAAATAAAATATTTAAAGTTTGCTAACGATTGGATGCTCCATTACACATGTTACTTCCGTCAGTTCCACATAAAAATCACTCCGCCTGTTTTGTGTGCTTCGATGCTTTCAATCTGTGAACTAGGCTCCGGCCACAGAAAGGATGACAAGCATCTTTATTGTTATGGGTTGTGGCTCCATCTTCTAATCTTTTTTACAGAGAAACGATGGAAATCATTTTATGCTCTGTTTTGAACAAGTCACGTAGGTGTTTGATTGGCAAACGATGGTTGTGACTTGTGAATCCTTCAATTTTTAAAAATGGCTGTCATCCATTGCGTCACGTAGGTGTTTGATTGGATCCTGATTTCATGTTTTTCTTTTGACGTAGAATAGAGGTTGCGGGGAACTGACGGGAGTGACGGAGCAGTTAACAAACGTTGAAATATGGAAGTTATTTATCAGGGAGTATGGTGCAAATAATAAAACTTACTCCATATTATATTGATGACTAGGATATAACATGGCTTCATAATAGAATCTGATTGGCTATGGAGGTTAAGGTACCGGTACATCAATATTGTTTGAAGGCACCGTAGAAATTCCCTATTGGTAATTTAGATTTTTGTTGTGTAGTTGGATTCCTATTTATCTTTAATTTGGTACTTCCTTAAAATGAAAGTATCTACATAGATATATATACAAACATTTGAAATACGAATTTTAGATTTGTAAATATAAAAAACAACTAAAAACAAAAAGAAACAATAAAAAACAAAATTGCAAAATTGTCAACAAAAAGAAACACATAGAAACAATAGGAAACAAAAACTAATAATAAAATGAAATAATATATTTCATTGTTTTTAAAGAGATATCTGTAGTATTACATTACAAAATTCGAATTACAACAATTCAGTGCTTAAAGAGATATCCGTAGTATTACCTTACAGAATTCGATTTTTTTAAAGTTCATTGTTTTTAATTTTTCATTTTTTCATGCTCCGAGTTTATTTTAATTTTACATTGTCGTAGGTTACATTAACTTTATAATTCTATTCAACATTTTTTTACCATTTTTTATTATATAAATTAAATTCAAATTATTTGAATGTCCTCAAATTTTATATATTCACTAGATATTTTATTTTAATATGCATATTTTCCAAGGTTTTCAAAATAATTAATTTTTCACAAATTTGTTTAATTACATTTCATACTATTTAATAAATTCAAAGCATTTTTATCTTATTTTAAATATTTCTTTCATCATTATAAGTTTTTTCTTTAATTTTTCACTATTTTGTTAAGTGTTTTTTTGAATAAAACATTCTATTTTTATATTTTATATATTTTATACTAACTATTTTAAACTTTTTATACGTTTTTAAGTTTTCTTGCAATTGTATATGCATTTTTATTTTTTCCTTACAATTTAAATTCATTTTCTTTTATTTTTAAAATTTAATTTACCAGTTTCCAAATTTTCTTTTTTCTACTTCTATTTTTAAATTTGAGTGTTGATTTTTTTCATATTCACTTTCATTTTTGAGAATGTATTGTTTTCTAGACATTATCGCCTTTTAGAGATTTTAAAATTTTCTATTTAAAATAAAAATATTATTGACTCTTAATGTATAGGCTTATACTCCGTATAAGTAGTGCCCAAGTATAAAAAAGGAAGCAGTAGTCAAAAGTCACGTACACTTGTGACGGCGGGGCTATGAGGACCGACGAGAAGGCAAATCACAAAGCCTGCTTCTTACGGATGGTCCATTTTTGAAAGAAATTTTTTTGAGTATGTATATTTGAAATAAGCTCTAAAAGGTGAAAAAGGTGAAAATTTCCCAAAAATATGTCCCGGTTATGACCGGCCCGGGCCATGCCACTACGAGAAAGAGAACGACGGAAGCGGGAGGAGATGTGCGCTGGTCACTTTTTTCCCCAGTATATTTTTGGTCAACTTATGTCTTTTAAAAGCCTAGGAGTTATATTCATGTCATTCTTTCTTTCTTAAGGTTATCATTCTCATGAAATCCATTAAGTAAACAACTCCTTAGATAATTTGTCCAATGAAAGCTATTCTAATAAAAATCTTTAAGCGGGAATATTATTCTCAATTTTGCCAAAAAAAACTTCTTAAACTTGTCTAATAGAGATATTTTGATATTAGATTTCTTGCACATTGCACAATCGAAGAGAGAAAACAAAACAAAGATGAATTATTGCGCTGGACAAGCTTGAGCAAGAAATTAGCACTCAACTACATATATATTCGATTCAGCCAGAAGATAGAAACATAGCACTGTTCGTACATTAAAGAAATAACCAAGATACATCCATCAGACATGAGTAGTTTGTTTAATCAGAAAGAGGATTAATCACCGTCCCGATGAAGACAATGACTCCAGTCAAATCCTCTCGGATAAAAAAGAGAAAGGGATGGTCAGCCACAAAATCCACTTTGTCTTCCACCAACAAGCACCGAAGCATCACCGTAGCTGCCGTAGCCGCTGCAGCTTCTGTGCCTTCCTCATTAACCTCTATAAAAGACTTATGGAAAATTTGTGAAACACAAAGGTTACCTCCCACGGTAGGGGAGTCAACCATTTCAGTGAGACCCCCTCCGGTGAAAGGCAAGACCACCCCTAGCTCCTTGAGAGCCTTTGAAGTCTCCAATCCGAAAGATATTTTGAATTTCGGGATAAGAAACTCCCCTACTTCAACTGGATGGTTGGGAAGGTGGTGCTCTAAAAGTCTGGGTTCAGAGGTGATCTTATCCATCAGAGATGGCAGTCCATCCTTGGCATCAGGCAAGAAGAAGTACATGGAGAAACGACGCTTATCCTCACCTTGTTTGTAGGGTAATCCCAAAACTTTGAAACCATTGAAGGCTTTCAGGTACTGTTTCTTCTTACTGCTCATGAAGGGGACTTGTATGGTGCTGCCATTAAGGAGGTGGAACTCCCGGTCTTTTGTCTCTGATGCATTGAATTTTTCCGCCCAGGCTCCTTTAAAGTACAACGCATTTGCTAAAATGAGCCGTGTTGTATTGTCAACTGCACCGGCGGGGAGTATCTCTTTGATAAGTCCACCCGTTTCCTTCTCAACCCAGGAATTAACTTGATTAGCCACTTCAATTGCCTGCCCAATCCATTAGAAGCCATTATATAAGTGTCGTTTTTGGTTCTAGATCTGTATATTACAGGTGCTCCAATTAAGCACTAGACTTTAGCCTCCCTTTGGTAGACTGGTTCTACTTATTCTGCTTCGTAGAATAATAAGTTGAATGCTCAGAATAAGCATAACAAGTAGTTTTCGACTAGTTATTTCAGTATTTGACTTAATGACATTTTAAATAATTAAACAAACACTTTTTCATCCGGATCATTAAAAGGGTTCACCCATTTCAGAAAAATAATCTAGAGCAAACAGGCTGGGTGCATCCTAAGCGTAAAACATGAACCAAAACTGGACTCTACATAAGATCATTTTGACTGTAGAAGAAAAATCATTATGAATCTCTACCCAGTAAGACAAAAAGAAATCAGATCAGTTTGGAGTGCCACTATCAAGATGTAAATTTCTATTATTAGCCCAAACATATTTTATTCCTTCATAGTTTCAGTATTTCGAATTCATTGATCCAAAAGCACACCAAACTAATCTGAAGTTCTGGACCAATGTTATTTCAAGGAGTATACTTTTATTTGGGAAAAACAAAGCGAACAATTTTGAAATCCATCATGTCAATAGCATTCTACTGCAGACATGAGAAGCCAATAGAACTGAGAATGATCAAATTGGAACTGAGAAGGTTAAAACCCTAACCCTGTGCTGGAAGTCAACCGATTCAGAAACGGCCTTATAAACAGTGTTCACGACATGCTTAAAGGAATCCTTCAAGGGAAGAGTCTGCTCGATCCACGCACCGTTTGCCACCGACAATAGAGGGCCACCTACAGAACTTCCGTCGGCGAAGATGACGGAGACGATCTGAGACGAAAAGGCGTTGAGATCTTCGGTGGACTTGGAGTTCAGGAAAGCGAGCAGCTGGTCGAGCGTCGGGCCTTTCGAGCCGGCGGCAATCAGGCCCAAGACGACGTTGACTGAGAGAGGAGAGAAAACAAGGTTGGAATCTCCTTTGATTTCGGTGATTTCGGTAGAGAAGACATGCTTCGCTAGCTTGAAAGAAACTTCTACATGATTTCTGATCGATTCACGAAGGTCCATTTTCGCGGTTATTGAAATGAGGGAGAATGCAGGTAGAACAAGGAGAGTTTTATGATTTCCCTTTCTCTTTTCACTTTTGCCAGTCTTTTGGTTAAAACTAAAAATTCCTTGAGTTAATTGTGGGATAAAAGATAAAAAGAATCCCGAAGTAATTACTCACTCTACTTTTATTCATTTTCATTATGTTAATTTTCTAGAAATTAAAAATAAAACTGATACGAGAAGTAAAGATTGTTACTAAATAAAATTTTGATAAGGATGTACAAAACAAAGGTACAAATAAAGAACATAAAAGAAAGAGTCAAGAACAAGTTGTAAAAGATAGAGGTGAAATCCATGCTAATAATCGGTGTTTCTACAACAAAAATCCGTACAGAGGATGTTAATAAAATTAATCCGAACTTGTAAATTAGTTCACAAAAGTAAATGAAACTAAATGGAGTCAAACATTCCATTCACACAATCACAAACTGACCGCCACAACATCATCCCTTTGTGTTCATATTACCTTCTTGTCCCTAGTTAGAAGCACTTTCTCCTCTTTTTTCATTAAATCACACAATCACTGATTTAAAATCCATATTTGCAAAAAAAAAAGTGATTTGCAATCCATCTATTTTGCAAAATGTCAAAAGATCACATATCCAAGTATGGAATTATTTGCAGACAATCTTTCTTTCGATCTATTTTTAGTGTCAAAATGTGTACCGTGTTTTCGATGATCAAACAAGATGATGAATATATGCCATGACAGTAATAAGTAATAGCAATAATAAATAATTGGAGTAATATAAAGTTTTAAGCTCATAATACAGTTCAATATTATTTGGTGTTCTGTATTTGAGGTATCTGACCGTGGGAGTAGAAGAAAAAGTAAATGGCTTTTTTAGATGTTTTTTTGTTGAAAGAGACCACGAGAGGAAGAAGAATGAATTAGGGGAAGATGAGGCGGTAGCCTAAGAAGAGAGATAGTGAGATACTGGTAGGGGTGCAAATGAGCCGAGCCGCTCGTGAGCCGCTCGCGAGCCGCTCGGTCAAAGCTCGAATCGGGATCGGTCAAATTCGAGCTCGAGCCGAGCTCGAGCCGGCTCGTTAAGCAATCGAGCCCGAGCTCGAGCCTTCTAATTTCAGGCTCGCTGGCTCGCGAGCCGGCTCGCGAGCCTAATTTTATATGTGAATATTTATAATATATATATAATCATATATAATATATTACTATGCAATATAAATTAATATATAGTGTATATTATTATATGTAATATATATGATATACTTCCTCCGTTCCATAATTCTTGCAACATTGTGATTTTTACACTATTCACATATCTTAATTTGACCATGATTTTCTACTAATATACATAATCAAATTATTACGTATAAAATGTTATTGAACTCTTATCAATGTGAATTTCCAAAATATCAACTTTTTATAATGTCTACTAATACATAATTAAATATAATTACAATCAAAGTTGTGCATTGGCAAACGTGAAAGTCAAATTGTTGCAAGAATTATGGAACGGAGGATAGTATATAATATATACCGAATTACCGATTAGTAAAAATTTATAATATTTTAGGCTTAGGGCGTTACTACTCAATAGAAAAACTTAGAATGGGCCGATGACAGTGAATTTTTACTACGGACTCATTATGGAGCATCAGAATGGTTATCGAGCCTCAAGCCGAACCGAGCCTCAAGCCGAACCGAGCCTCGAGCCGAATCGAGTCGAACCGAGCCTTTTGCGAGTCGAATTCGAGCCGCAATTTTGTAGGCTCGTTCGAGCCGAGCCCGAGCTCGAGCCGATGCTATATATTTCGAGCTCGAGCTCGAGCCTGTAGAAAATCGGGCTCGGCTCGGCTCGTTTGCACCCCTAGATACTGGTGTGGTGGAGAAGTATGGTGATATTCATGGGTAAGGGGTAACATAAAATGGAACCGTTACCTCCGTCTCATTTAGTGTACTTACGTGGATAACTTTATCAGTTTGGGTTAGTTTCATTAATATTTCCAGTATGGATTAATATTGTAGAATGGACTTAAGTATGGATTATTAATATGAATTTCTCTTACAATTTTTTTCCTGGAAAATTCTATTGGTATCTTTTTTACGCTTTCCCTAATTTTACTTGTATACATGGATAACTCGTTTAAAAAATGCAGTTCATCTATGTACGTAATCAAAATAGAAGGATGTGCAAAAAGCGTACACCAAAATTGTACACCAAACACAACTAATTAAATGCAATTTTGGAAATGCTATTATCATAATATGCACCAAAAATCATATTTGTGTGTTGCTTTCAGTTTGGTCGTTTATTTCTCATTACTTCAAGATTTATAGCCGTTTGGTAACACTGAAATTGGCTGAACCGGCTGATTCTGCTGAAATTTATGAAGTTCTGGCTAAATTGGTTAGATTAGCTGATTCTGCTGATTTACGGGGGATATTTAAAATGGTTTTTTAAGAAAATTATGAAAAAGTTATATCAAAAAATAGCTAAAATGATCTCTACAGTAACTTCAACCTTACTTCTTCTTATTGTTACACAATTCAACGTGTGAAATCGAAAGTTGCGTTTTTAGTGAAAAATTGACTGATAAACCAGATAAGTCGAAAAATATGATCACCAAATGAGCTCTTAATATATCAGTGTCGAAGCAAACCCCAATAATATATTATGCACTCCATATTTCATTAAAATGAAGATAGTTTTTTTTATGGTAATTAAAATGAAGATAGTTGTTATTAGTGTTACTGAATTAGATATTTGTCATATTTCAATCGAGAAGTTTATCATTTTATTACACTCCGTAATCCGTGTGCAAATATTAGTGTCAGGAGAAAGATTAAAAACATGTTTCAAGTAGTGGTGGACTCGGGTCGGGTCGCCCGACCCGGAACCAGTACTGTTTGCGCCCAGCCCGGTACCCAGTCATAGGACCGGTCCGGGTCTGAACCGGTGGCCCGGTCAGGGACTGGTCCGGGTAGGCCCAACACGGGGGTTTTACGGCGCGGGCTCGGGTAAGCTAAATATGGAACCGGCCCGGCCAGGCCGAGCCCGGTTCGGGCTTTATTCTTTTTTTTTCAATTTTATTTAATTTCCCGGGTTGGGCTGGGCATTCTAGGCCATTTGGGGTGGTGTGGGGGGCTGGGGTGGGGGGGTTGGGGGTAAAATTTGAAAAAGGAAAGAAAAAAAATTAGAAACTGGCCCGAGGCCCGGCCCAGACCCAGTGGCAACCTGGGCCAGTACCGGGCCTTCCCCCAACCACAAAAGGCCCGACCGGGCCTAGGCCCGGCTCCATGCCTAATCAAGTCTCGTGTGAAAACAAAAGGAAACCGCTACCGCTAGACTAGGGGTGGACTCGGGCCGGGCGGCTTGCCCCGGAACTGGCCCGAACCGGTTACTGTTTGAACCGGCCCGAACCGCCGGCCCGGCTAGGGACCGGTCCGGGTAGGCCCGACCCGCTCGGGTTCCGGTCCGGTCTCGGGCCCCTCAGGCCCAGTCCGGGCCAAATTTTTTTTCTTCTTTTTTTTTTTGAAATTTTTTTGAGTTTTTGGGTTGGGCTGGGTATTTTGGGCCATTTGAGGTGGTTTGGGGGTGAGGGGGGAGGGTTGGGGGTTAATTAGGAAAAGCCAAAAAATATAAATTGAACCGAGGCCCGGCCCGGACCTGGGGGTTACCCGGGCCGGTTCCGGGCCTCCCCTTTCATGAACCGAGGCCCGGTCAGGCCCAGGCCCGAACCGGGCCCGAGTCCACCCCTATGCTAGACCAGGAATAAAGATGATGGTATTTCATGCTACCCTTCTGAAGTTCTGGTTTTAACTTTTGAAGTCAAAATTTGTTAAATCTGACAACTATTTATGCAAAAACTGCATTAAAATTCATCCATTAAATATTTGCTTCACTTTAAATGCTTGTTTTGTTATTTTCATACTTCAGTTTTTCACCTGCACAAATTTTACAATATTTGATTGCTTCGAGACTAAAACGCTGCAAAATGCAGTGTTGTTGGAAAAAATGGTGTTTTGGGCGAAAAAGGCTGTTACCTAAACACCCCCTAAGTTGTACTGAAACGGGGATTTTAAAAAGTAAACACGTAATTTCTTTTTGGGAAAACTGTCAAATAGGTCCTCAAACTTTCATAAAAAGTTCAAATAAATCCTTATATAGGAGACTATGTCCGGCCATCGCGATTTGGGGCGGTTCCCGGTGGAATTTTTTTATGAAAATGTTTGAGCATCTTGTACATCAAGTCTAGTTTACTCATACCATATTTCAGCTAGAACTTCAATCGAGAACGCATTCAAATTAATTCTTGAAGATAACTGCGCATTTAACTACACAGTCATCTTCAAAAATTAATTTGAATGCGTTCCCGATTGAAGTTTTAGCTGACATTTGGTATGAGTATACTACACTTGATGAATAAGATGCTCAAAAAAATTCATCAAAAAATTCCACAAGGAACCGCCCCAAATCACGATGGCCGGACAGAACCTTCTATATAAGGACTTACTTGACATTTTTATGAAAATTCGAGGACCTATTTGACAGTTTTCCCTTTCTTTTTTGAATAATTAAACTGGAATCAACCATGGAAAATGCAAAACTCCACTTGCATATATACATACATGTCTGTATACGCACATACGTACACAATGCATAATAAATATTGTATCTACCTGAACCGGATGAACGAGAGATTAGTTAAACCTTTTACAAGAGAAACGCAACTGCAAATCTTTATATTCCATTCCAGGACTATATCTCGTTCAGATTTGATATGATTATAATATTTAAAAGATTTATAATCACAAAGAGAGACTACTTGGGTTGCAACTGCTTGGAGTGTTACCCTTTTCGTCAGCAAGCTCTATACCCTCCTAACAGCATTGTGAAACAGGGGAGGATGTTCAATGCTCTATTATGAGTAGATTCCAGCTCACATAAACACATTCTGGGAGAATTTCTGTTACCCACAGGAAGAAGTGAAGAGTGGTGGTGGGATGGGGTGGGGTGGGTCATGGGTGGTCATTATCTATCCACTCTCCACCCAGACGTTTTTAATGCAATGTGTGGCGGAGATTGAGGAACTTATCTTCTCTTTGGGCTCTGCTCATTGACACCAACTAATGCAGAAAAACTCACAGTTTAATTGCCAGCAGTGAACAAAGTGATGACCCCCTGTGGGAGCATAGGAAAGGGGTATAAATCTCTGGTTAGAAACATGGTCTGATCCTAGTAGATGACAAAACCAGATAGTTACTATATTTCATATTATACTTATATACTCTATTATATTCAAATATTTCACACGGCTACTTGTTGCCAAGGCGCTCGCCCAATCGTCTAGCGACTAGGCAGTTCACTGGCACCACACCTGATAAGTGATAACATTGTTGAATATGAATTTCGAATTACTATGCTGCCGGAAGTGGTTGGTGCAGAAACTTAGAAACATTCAACCATGTGTTTCTTGAATGTTGGCTAGCCAAGTAAATATGGCAGCAATCTTATGATCCGGCAGGTCTCGACTTTCCTGAGTGCAGTCAGTTATACCAAACAAGTTTGTATGTTATGGATGATCAAGGGTTCAGGTGTTAAGGTTGTTTTTACTTGGACTGTAATTTGCTGGTCTGGTCTGGTCTAGTCTGGTTTCTTTGTATTTTTATAACTATCCAAGTCTGGTCTGTTCTGGTCTGGGACAAATTACAGTCCAAGTAAAAACATCTTTACATAATAGTCGGAACACAAATGCTCCGTTTGGTTAGAAGTGAACCTGGATTCTTCCAAGATTTAGCTTGGGTACAACTCGTCCGGATTGTTATGTGATGACAAGAACCTAGATTTTGATGAACTTAAGTTCACCTCAAAGAGCCCCCCAATAGAGATTTTCATACATTTAGTTCTCCATACAAACAACCATTTATTGCACTGACCTAGGTTACACCTAATAACATCCTAACATCATTATTTCATTATTGTATTTTAATTTAGCATCACCTTGGCTCATCCAATTTTTACTGAACCTAGGTTGTGAAACTTTGAACAAATGGCATTGCTTAACAAGTTGGCCTACCCAACTTTAGATTTAAAGCCTGAATTTGTAAATTGTAGTTGTTCTTTTTTGTCTTTAGTTCTCCTTCAGAGCATCCATGACTCCTATGAGAATCTAGCTTAATTTTCAAAGACGCCGCTTTTGGTCTCAGGTTCTGTTTGGTTGGATGATTATGAATAGTTTTGGAGGGCTTAAATTGCCCACTGACAAGTATGTATATATTGAAAAGAAAAAATAGCCCTCTTACATCCAAACAGAACCTCAAATGCCAAAAGTGAAGACTGCAGATACCAAAAGGTACACACCATGAATAACTAGGGACTAAAAGTGCCATCTTCTTTTAATCGACTACAGTTAGATTGTAAGAAAAAGATAAATGTTTCTATTTTTGAATTTACAGAGTATATATTTGTACAAGTCATGTTTTGCATCATTACAAAAGGAAAGATGGATAGAAAATCCAGGAAGACTTTTTAGGGACAATGGAAATCTAAAGAGGAAATATTCTGACCTTGGTCACCACTTGACATCCAGTGTTAGCGGCTCTGAAGTAACAAGGAGGGACGGAATCTTTGTGAATGAAACATTTGACATCAAACTGCTCCACGACAATGAATCTACTTCAACAAAAGGTCGGAATTTCTTCATCATTAGTGGCTTCAGTGACCCTTCCCTAATTCCTGCCACCACCTCAAACCAAACGCGTTCAGCCTTCGGCCTTGTCCTCCACTCACCTAACGTACTCCACTGAGTGTCATTGTTACGGATATTTCTCTCCAACTCCATCTGGAACCGAATAACAATTGACGGTTTGATCCTTATTTTTAGGCCAAATCCAGTTTTTCTATCGGCTCTCCCACCCACAAAACTCTTCAAAGCATTTTCCAGTAAAGTTGCCTTCTTGCTAAGAGAATCAATTACCGAACTCTGTTTTCTTTGGACGTTTCCTGTATAACACTTATCTGGAAGCAACATGATCGTGTCTCCAGATAGAAAAGAGGGTTTTATGGCCGAATTGGGGCTTTGAGTCTTGAACACAGACACATGTGCTGACCCTCTAACACGTATTGGAAGTGATGATGAACATGAAGAAGGAAACTTGCTCCTCAAGTTACTGAAAGTATGCCCATATAGTGGTCCGTTTGGAGAGGGATGGGTATGGAATACAGTTATTTCTTCAGCACCTTCCACTTCTACTGTCATGCCTTCACTAACCAGTATTTGTTTCAAACAAGGAACTGAAATGTTTAACTGATTAAAATGTTCAGACATTAGCACTTCCAATCTAGCATCCAGGAAATTTATATACGAAGTATAAAGAAAAAAGAAAGCATAAAGAAGTATAAAGATAAAGGAAAACCAAAGAATAAACATAAATAATGACATTCTACAAATCCAAATAAAACTTAGATGAGCAAAGTTTTATGAATGGGCATCACGATTCTTTTCTTTACTAAAATAATTGCAGTTTCACTAATGAAAAAAGAGGTTAATATGGCAATCGGAATAATGTATAGAACTTGGAAATGTAAATTGCATATTTTTAATCATTCCCCCCCTTAAATTCAAGACAACATTCTTAATGCTTATATACTATTACAGAAAGTATAACAAGTATCACAAGTGTGAGAGCTTACCTAATGCTCTACAATAGCCAGAAATTGGGGTATGTACCATATAAGCCATCAAATGAAACGGAAAACAAACAAAACAAAGCTGGAGTTGTAATGAAATCAAAATGTCATGCCCCTTGGAATGCAAGCCTAAATAAAACTATAATATCAATAAAAGTTAAAATATATAAAAATCTGTTTCTCAGGTACTTCACATATTAGTTTTCAGTAAAAGTGAATGCAAGAGCCATTTTCATAAACTGCCCTCGAGTATCAACTTAACTGCTTCATAGCCCTATTACTCCTAGGTCGAATCTATTTAATTAGAATACATGGTAAATTTTCCTTTGCAAAAAGAATACATGGTAAATGATTTCAAAGATGAATATAGAAGTTAATCATGATTTGAATATGTACGGAGTATATACATAGAGAAGATAGTACCGGCAAATTGAGCGAGAAACTATAATCATCACCAGCAGCATACAATTCCAGTGGACCTTCAATCTTAAATCCATCAAGAACAGCGTTGGAGCCAATCTCTTTAACCAGAGACTCAAAGTCAGACCAATTCCTCTTCCCCAATGATTCAAACTTTTTCCACTTGGACACTTGATCAAACACCTTGAACACGATTTCAGTCTTTCCCAACCTAACCCCAAACTCGTACTTCCTCACATTGCCAAACTTGGCTCTCTTAGCATTCAGTTTCGAAATCCTAATCTCCTCCAAATCCCATTTCTCTCCCTTCGAAATAGACTCCAGTACCTCCTGCAAACCCAAATGAAAACAACAGCTATATAAGTAACGATTCAAAATCGACAGGAAATTGAACAGCAGGAAGAGCAGAGAACCTTCAATAAGTACGAGGGCTGAGAAGGAGGAGGTGGAGGTTGAGAGAAGAGAAAGGAGGTGGCTTTGGGGTAGAGATAGTGGGAAACGTTGAGAAGTGGTGTAGACGATTGGGTTGAAGAAGTTAGGATAAGGTTTTGGCAGTGCAGAACGAGGAAGAGAAAGAGGTTGAACGATCTACGGGGCATCGTAGTTTCGGCTAACGTGATGATCGTCGCCGGGCGTCGACCTTAAATCTGGGTAAATTTCCGGTAGCGGCGATTATAAAGCCTGAGATCTGATGGTGAAAATTACAAGTGTGCTGTCATATGTAATGTCTCGTTGAATCGGATGATGGCGACACAAGTATTGACGGACTTCATTTTTAGTAAAGCGTAATTTCTCTTGGTCATTCAAAAACAACCAAATCGAATATCCTCCCTCCGTGAATAGCTCCTCACTTTTGCTCTTCGAGGCTTTGTTAGTTTATTCGTCTATAATTCGCGTATAATACACTCAAACGTACAATTCACGTATAATACTACCGTTTATGTATTTTTCAAAAAATTCTGAAAAATTCACGTACTTTAAGGATAAAATGTATAATACACGTATCGTACGAATTAATACGTATTTTATTCATGAATAATACTCTCATTTATGAATTTTTCAAAAAAATCTTAAAAACTCACGTACATTAAGGATAAAATGTATAACACAGATACTGTATGTATTGATACGTATTTTATTCAAAAACACATACCATTAAACGGAAGCCTAATGGAGTGATACAACTGAAACGAAATGTCTAGCTGCTCAATATTATTTATATTGCTTAAAATTTTTTATGCCTTATATGTTCGTTAATTGTTTAATAGTCATTACGTTTAATAAAGTAGCTTCTTAAATTCGTAATCCGTTTCGATATTACTATTGTATTATTATTGTATTATTTTTGTTCTCCACCCATACCGACTCCAATGAGATCGAAAAATGTTGTGGCGGCTCACCAAACGGTCACATAGTACAACTATTCTCTAGTAATATCTCTCTACTTAAATAGGCAATTCATTTTTATTACTTATTGTACCTATGCATTAAAATCCGTATATCTAAAAAAACTATTCTATAGATTTTAAATTGTTAAAGAATGTGGTGGAAATGTAAAATAACTCTTTATTTCTCTCATTAAATTAGTATATAAGACACCTGTTATATGCCGTATTTTTAAATTATTATGAAACGTTTTAAACACGTCCGTATCTTTATATATTTCACGAACGTATGAAACATATATTAAGCCGTATTTTATATAATTGTATCGTATTATACACGAACGTACGTATTATTGTATAATTCACGAACCGTATATTACTAACAAAGCTTCTAGGATATGAAAATTGAAGAAAATTTGGAGCACTATTTGGGTGTAGTGTGTGAGCCAAACAACTTACTAGAAAAATATACTAGTAAAATATACTAAAAATTTGATAAAGAGAAAATAAATAAAGGCCACACCAAATTTACAAAATCTTATATTATTAATGTAAATAAAGAGTCAAAATTATTATTTTATTTATTTACTTATTTAGTTATCTACTTATTTATTTATTTATTTATTTATTTACAAACTAAAAAGTTAATAATTTTCTAATTTACTTAACCCATTAGCAACTTATTAAATTAGTTACTAAGTTACTGATTTACTCAAAAAAAATAAGATACTCTATTAAAAATCTGTTAATATAAAAAAGTGTTAAAATTTTCTAATAAGAATTATTTATAGTGTCTTTTTTATTTTCTAATATAAAAAAGTGTTAAAAACTACTTAAATTACTGATTTACAAACTATTTATATTTTCTAAAAAGAGTATTAAATTTCTTTCATTTAAAAGAATAATATTAACGTAAAGATTCTAATAAAAAGTGTTGAATAAATAAATAATAAATAAATAGTGTGATAATATAAAAAAAAATGAAATTAATATAAAGATAATGAGCACATGAAATAATGAATACCGAATAGGGAAAACGGTCAATTTAGTGTTCGTACTATCACGAAAAAGTCGATTAGGTTCTCAATTCTCATATTTTTGAAAAAATCAATCGAATTCCTGAACTTTGAAAAATGTTCAATTAGGTCAATTAGCAAGTTACCAGCCACGTCAGCGGGTCAATCGCTGTCGTGGCACTCTTGTGTCAGCCCAGTAAGCAGTTACTTTGCTCACGTGGCGCACACGTCGAAACCCAGGCAACCATTTCCAGATGACGTGGTGCACATGTGGACCGCTAGCAAGTGACCTGCTGACATGGCAGGTAACCTGCTAATTGATCCAATTGAACATTTTTTCGAAGTTTAGGGATTTGATTGATTTTTTTTAAAGTATGAGGACCTAATTGACTTTGCATGATAGTACGAGGACCAAATTGTTAGTTTTCTCAACGAGTATAAATTAAATTAAATAAACAAATACTCACAAATATGTTTTTACTTAAGATAAAATTTTCTGGTCCGGTATGGTATGGGCTGGTCTGGTCCAGTTGATATGATCTGGTAGATGTCTAGTCTCTATGTATTTCAAATTGTTGAGGTCTAGTTTGGTATGATCGGTTTAAGTCTGATCTGATCTTGGACTAAAATAAGTCCAAGAGTGACATTTTTACATAATCTGATCTCTAGATTCATCTCCATTGCAATAGATGATCCTAAAGTTTTAATAAGAATATTGTAATGTGTTACAAATATTTATCTAGTAATTAATTAGAGTTGTAGTCCTGCTTATTGGGGCACATAAAAAAGTACATAGTATTAATTATTTAAGGATACATGTTTTCTTGGATCATGAATACAAACAAAAGTTAAAGGAATATTATTAAAGATACATAACATGATAACAATATACTCTTTTAATAATAATAATAATAATAATAATAATAATAATAATAATAATAATAATAATAATAATAATAATAATAATAATAATAATAATAATAATAATAATAATAATAATAATAATAATAATAATAATAATAATAATAATAATAATAATAATAATAATAATAATAATAATAATAATAATAATAATAATAATAATAATAATAATAATAATAATAATAATAATAATAATAATAATAATAATAATAATAATAATAATAATAATAATAATAATAATAATAATAATAATAATAATAATAATAATAATAATAATAATAATAATAATAATGATGATGATGATGATGATGATGATGATGATGATGATGATGATGATGATGATGATGATGATGATGATGATAATGATAATGATAATGATAATGATAATGATAATGATAATGATAATGATAATGATAATGATAATGATAATGATAATGATAATGATAATGATAATGATAATGATAATGATAATGATAATGATAATGATAATGATAATGATAATGATAATGATAATGATAATGATAATGATAATGATAATGATAATGATAATGATAATGATAATGATAATGATAATGATAATGATAATGATAATGATAATGATAATGATAATGATAATGGTAATGATAATGGTAATGATAATGATAATGATAATGATAATGATAATGATAATGATAATGATAATGATAATGATAATGATAATGATAATGATAATGATAATGATAATGATAATGATAATGATAATGATAATGATAATGATAATAATGATAATAATAATGATAATAATAATGATAATAATAATAATAATAATAATAATAATAATAATAATAATAGTAATAATAGTAATAATAGTAATAATAATAATAATAATAATAATAATAATAATAATGATAATAATGATAATAATGATAATGATAATGATGATAATGATAATGATGATGATGATAATGATGATGATGATAATGATGATGATGATAATGATGATGATGATAATGATGATGATGATAATGATAATGATGATGATGATAATGATGATGATGATGATGATGATGATGATGATGATGATGATGATGATAATGATAATGATAATGATAATGATAATGATAATGATAATGATAATGATAATGATAATGATAATGATAATGATAATGATGATAATGATAATGATAATGATAATGATAATGATAATGATAATGATAATGATAATGATAATGATAATGATAATGATAATGATAATGATAATGATAATGATAATGATAATGATAATGATAATAATAATAATAATAATAATAATAATAATAATAATAATAATAATAATAATAATAATAATAATAATAATAATAATAATAATAATAATAATAATGATAATAATGATGATAATAATGATGATAATAATGATGATAATGATAATAATAATAATAATAATAATAATAATAATAATAATAATAATAATAATAATAATAATAATAATAATAATAATAATAATAATAATAATAATAATAATAATAATAATAATAATAATAATAATAATAATAATAATAATAATAATAATAATAATAATAATAATAATAATAATAATAATAATAATAATAATAATAATAATAATAATAATAATAATAATAATAATAATAATAATAATAATAATAATAATAATAATAATAATAATAATAATAATAATAATAATAATAATAATAATAATAATAATAATAATAATAATAATAATAATAATAATAATAATAATAATAATAATAATAATAATAATAATAATAATAATAATAATAATAATAATAATAATAATAATAATAATAATAATAATAATAATAATAATAATAATAATAATAATAATAATAATAATAATAATAATAATAATAATAATAATAATAATAATAATAATAATAATAATAATAATAATAATAATAATAATAATAATAATAATAATAATAATAATAATAATAATAATAATAATAATAATAATAATAATAATAATAATAATAATAATAATAATAATAATAATAATAATAATAATAATAATAATAATAATAATAATAATAATAATAATAATAATAATAATAATAATAATAATAATAATAATAATAATAATAATAATAATAATAATAATAATAATAATAATAATAATAATAATAATAATAATAATAATAATAATAATAATAATAATAATAATAATAATAATAATAATAATAATAATAATAATAATAATAATAATAATAATAATAATAATAATAATAATAATAATAATAATAATAATAATAATAATAATAATAATAATAATAATAATAATAATAATAATAATAATAATAATAATAATAATAATAATAATAATAATAATAATAATAATAATAATAATAATAATAATAATAATAATAATAATAATAATAATAATAATAATAATAATAATAATAATAATAATAATAATAATAATAATAATAATAATAATAATAATAATAATAATAATAATAATAATAATAATAATAATAATAATAATAATAATAATAATAATAATA